GTTTCGCTTGTTTGCCAACGCACCTCTGACGTGCACGGCGCTTCTCTCTCTCTCTCTCGCATGGCCTTGTTTTTTCGCCGAGCAGCCGCATCGCACCAGCTGGGGGCCTCCGTTTCGGTACGGTGGTGGGCTTTTGCCCGTATTGCACGGGCTTCGCGGCCAGCTCCGCCGACCCTGACCCGTACCACCTAAGACGGAGACGGGAGGGGGCGTGGCAGAGGCTTCTTGGGATCGTCGCTTGGGCTCTTGGTTTTTTTTTGCGGTCTTCTTCTTATGTGGCCCTGAGGACAGCATGAACGAGTGGAGGGAGATCAGGGAGGGAAGGCGGGTGTAGCCCATAAATGAGACAATCCATAGTTTGTGCCATTCCAAGCCAAGCCTCATCAAGGACATGTTCACCAGGACTGTCGATGACAGGTTCTTGGGCGAACGCTGGAGGTGGAATGAGAGTGGTACGCGAAGCGTGTGGGGATTTGCCTGCCTGCTTGGGGCCGCCAGCGGCGCCAATTACTGGGGGAGAGATTGGGGCAGGCACCGAAGAGACATGAGAAGTTTGTTTTGTATTGCAAGGGTGTGCAGTCCATCAAATCCGAAGATTGTTTGCAAGAGCTCCTTACAGAAATGGAGCATCTGAGAGCCTGGGATGTCCTTTTTACCAGCGAGTCCTGGAGAGAAAGGGGACACGAGCAGGGGACACTGACTCGTGGCATGGGGGGGGGTTGAGTCAGCACGGCGTTGCGGTTCTACTGCGCAGCAGATGGTCGAACGAAGCCCGGGCTATCCTTGCATGCAGTGACAGACTGTGTTGGGCAAACGTAGACACCGGAAGGTTGTCTCTCCGTATGGTTTGTGGTGGTATGTCGCATTGTGGGGCGACGACGACGATGTAGAGAAGATGTGCGACGTTTTCTCAGAGCTGGAGTCTGAAGCTGGAAGGAATAAACTATTTTTTTCAGATCTGTTGGCGGTTGGAATGCGGTCGTGGTAAAACATGTATGTTTCCAGGAACCGGCGTTGCGCTGGAAAGCAAGGGTTGGGCAATCGAAACCCTCGAGGGAACATGTTGGTCAGATGAGCGGCCTCAGAGCACCTGTCGAGCACGAAAGCGTTCTTCCCGAATTTGTTTCACAAAAACTTGGGCGCATATTGCAAACCGCCGCCAAAGATGTATTGATTCAGTTTGTGCTGATGCGAGGGCCATTGGTATGACCAAATTTTCAGGAGCAAATGGTGACATTGGAGTCGGGTTGGATCACACTGCTGTCAAACTCTCGATGCATCTCTTTGGGCGCTGACGTCCACAAAACAACAAGAGGAAGGGAAACAATGTCGATTGACCTTCTGTCGATGTGCAGAAGTTTGAACATTCGGTCACGGCGGCTCTCCAGAATCCAGAACGAATTGGGCAGCGATGCCGGCGACGAGGTGGCTGCAGCGACAGTGTGCGGCGCCATTGACAGCGGTCTCAACGAGGCAACGCTAGCGCGTGCAGCGGGGGAGCTGGTCTCGAAGAAGAAACAGGAGCTGCAGCTCTCGATCCGTGGGCTCCTCAACGAAGGGGGGCTGGCCAAAGCGGCCCAGAGCGAGATAGACCACAGGCCTTTGCGGGAAATCAGTAAACAGCTGAAAAAGAAATGGGGGGCGTGGGGGGAGACAGAGGAGACGATCGCGAATCGTCGCCGGGTGACGAGCGTGAAATATACGAACGGTGATGTACACGCCGACGGACAGGGCATTGTCAATGTGTGTTGCTGTGTTTTTCCCCAACAATCCTGTGGTGTTGGGTCCTCGTTTGGAAAGACTGTCCCCGCGTTCGTTCCTTCCTTTTTTCCTTCCTTCTTTCCTCCTCCCCGTGCTCCCTCCCCCATCCCTGCTTCTGCCCTGCGCGTGTCCTCGCCGTCATCATCATAATCATCAACAACATCACCATCACCATCGTCATCGCCATGCCATCGTCATCATCATCATCGACGTCATGATCACCACCGTGTCGTCACCATCATCGCCACCAATTGCGCCACACTCCTTAAACGTTTCGTGGCCCCACACAGAGCCCCATCGAAGGCCTCAGCGGCGGTGTTCGCATGCCTCTCCCACGTAACGCAGGATTTCGCGGCCCCATAAAATGGGGGCCACCTAAAGCCCTAATGGCGGTGTTCGCATGCGTCTCCCCCAACCAGCACAGCGTTTCGCTGGCCCCATACGGAGCTCCACTTAAGACCCCCGTGACGGTCTTCGCATGCGTTTCCCCCGCCCAGTACGGCGCTCCGTGGCCCCATAGGGGGCCCCACCAAAGGCCCCAGAAGCGATGTTCGCATGCGTTCCCCCACCCAGCACAGCGCTTCGTGGCCTCATAGGGAGCTCTGTTCGCATGCGTCTCCCCCGCCCAGAACAGCGTTTCTTGGCCCCGCAGGAAGTTCCACTTGAGGCCCCAGTAGCGGTGCTCGCATGCGTCTCCCCCACCCAGGACAACGTTTCGTTGGCCCACAGGGAACTCCACGCGTCACGTGGGTGGAGCGGCCTTCGGAGCTGCGGAACCCTGCGTGGCGTACTGCAAAGCAGGCGCCGCCCCCGTGTGGAGATCCACCTACGGCCCCAGAGGCGGTGTTTGCATGCGTTTCCCTTACCCACGACAACGTTTCGTGGCCCCACAGGAATCTCCATTGAAGGTCCCAGTGGCGGTGTTCGCATGCGCCCCCCCCGCCCAGGACAGCGTTTTGTGGACCCACAGGGAATTTCACTCCTGGCCCCAATTGCGGTGTTCGTTTGCGTCTCCCCCACCCAGGACAGCGTTTCGTTGGCCCACAGGGAATCCCACCGAAGATCCCAGTGGCGGTGTTCACATGCGTTTTCCCAGTCCAGAATAGCGTTTCGCGGCCCCACATCGAGCTTTCACCCGTGGCCCTGGTGGCGGTGTTCGCATGCGCCCCCCTTGCCCAGTACAGCGTTTCGTGGCCCCACAGGGAGCTCCACCTACGGCCGCAGTAGCGGTGTTCGCATGCGTCTCCCCCACCCAAGGCAGCGTTTCGTGGCGCCACATCGAGCTCCACCTGAGGCCCGAGAAGGCAGTGTTCGCATGCGCTTCCCCCGCCCAGGACAGCGTTTCGTGGCCCCACAAGGGGGCTCCACGTAAGGCCCCGGTGGCGGTGTTCGCATGCGTCCTCCCACCCCGAACAGCGTTTCGTCGCCCCACAGGGAGCTCCAGATGAGGCCCCACTGGCGGTGTTGTCATGCGCCCCCCCCGTCCAGGACAGCGTTTCGTGGCCCCACAGGGAGCCCCAGCTGGGAGGAACGATTTTCGGAGGTGCGGAGCCTTGCGTGGCGTACTGCAACACAGGCGCCGCCTCGTAGCCCACAGAAGGAAACACCCTGACACATTTCGCGCACCCCCATCAGAAGCCCCACCGAATCTTATACACGCGATCGCGGTACATACACCTGAATATGGTTGGGTCTTTCGCCAGGCGAATTTCCAGAGTTTCCATGCGCATTCGAGCAAGGGGGTGCAAGGAACGCCTGGTGGGGAAACACTTGCAGAGTTTATCCCACCCGTATACGTCGGTGAGGTGGAGGAGCGTGCCAGAAAAATGAGGAGAGGAAAGGCGGCATATAATGTGAGCGTCGTTGCCTACATGTTCAAGTTTGGAGCGGGGTGTCAGCTCGAGATAGTGTTCGGGGTCGGCGCCGACATTCGAACAACAGGAAACGAACCAGTATAATGCTTGAGGAAAACTAGCATCAATTTGTTGTTCAAGAAGGGAGGTCGCAGCTGCCGTCGGCCCACCGACCAATCTCGATTCTGCCAACTGTTTATAATTTGTTCAGTCTGGTGCTACATGCTCGTCCGGCCAGTTCCGCGACGCTGAAACATCACGCAGGGCATTCTGCAGTATAGATTCTGGGTGGATCCTGCGTGGATTGTTCATCTGCGGTGTGGATTTGCGCATGGATTCCGCGGCGTGAGCCATAAAACGTAGCAGCAACATTTGGAGTGGTTTCCTGTGCGGATCTTGTTCTGATTTTTCCCATGGCAAACCAATGCCATTTCACGTGGAATCCAGGCGCTTGGGAAAAAGGGGAATTCCATGCGGAATCCTGCCGCAATTCATGCGATAATTCACGCGGTCGCCCATGCGAGTATGCCGCGCATGGAGCGCGGCGGGCAGCAACGATAATCCGGTGACGTAGATCCATACAT